TGGCTTTAAAGCCAAACGAGGGTGCGAAGCAAAGTGAAGCCATTGTTGTCTTCCGATAAGATCTAGCAACAAATCACTTCACAAGATGCACTAACATACGACATCAAGGCCGCCACAACAATTTATAATTTCCATCCTTACCGAATAGCGACAATGTAAACTACACATGTCACCGTTTACTACTCACAAATCCACCTATAGAGTAAGCAAATGAGTATAGAATATATGAAGAAAAAACGGGTTTGGATGAAACTCGTGAATTTCATACATAACATTGTTTTGTAGACTTGCATTTTTTATGAAAGCACATGACACACGGAAACGTGTTATTTTAAGCTCATCAGTCATCGTTGATTAATTGTATTTGGAGTTTGAGCACGGGTTTACAATTTATATCCTTACTGAATGCTGGCAATATAAAATACACACGGCCTCGTATACTACTCATGAGTATACTGTTATAATAAACAGCTGAATAAAAACTGGGGTGACATGAAATTCCGAAGAAACATTGACAGACGTCTGGTGAAAAATACTGGATTGTACAAAGAGTCACGAACAATTGCAGGACTATCATCTGTACCACTGTGACAGACATCGTCAGATCAAGAAACCAAACTTTACGAAGCAGCGCAAAAAATATACCAAATTAAAAGCACCGAGGGCCGGTTACAATACCAGCTCCTTTTGATACACCTCTCCTTTTGGTCTACTCGGTTCTTGATTTTGTCTTCCTGTCAGCAAGAAAAAAGTTGGGTGATTCACTGAGAAGGTGGCGCATTAGAAGAATGTATGTAGAGAAATTGAAACTTTTTTCAGTCGTATCTTTTTTAAGAGAATTTTCAAATCACTGTTGTGTTCATAACGACGCGGACTGGTTATAAAATAGAAACATCTTCAAAGCTGGCGGCCTCGAAACGAAGAGAGAAAAGGAAGAAATAGTATTTCAAAGTGTCCCATTCCGAGACGACCGAGTACAGTTTTGCGGAGCTGACAATAGAAAGATGGCGCCAAATAGACCATTCTAAATCCCGCGGGCCACGGCGGAACGGAGAAAGAGAAGGAAACGAACGTAACCGTGATCTCTGAGCCATGGCTACGTCTGGTATGCAAAAAAACTAAACTTTGATTGGGAAAAGTTAAAGCTTTGCTTCGATGTGTAGAAGACCCGACGACCCTTCCAGAAAAGAGCCCATTTCGAGATGAATTGTTCAGTGAAGAGCTTCGAAAGTGGACGATCACGAGTAGACTCCTCTTGACCAGCTGTCGATTGGCGCTTTGTCGGAACATTCTTGCAGAGTCTGTTTCCGACGCGATCTTCTTCGACTCCGATGAAGGCATGACAACGTCTCTTTCGTCGGTAACGAGTCAAAAAAACCAAACAGCTTGTTGGATTGAATGGGAGTATAAAGATGATGCCCTGCTCTGATGCTGTCCGTCATTGGACGGAGGAAGTCTGGACCAGTTTTCCTCGAAGTCGAAGTCAGCAAGAATGCTCCGACAGAGCCAATCGGTAGTTGGCCAATGCTGAATGCAGGAAAGGTGCATCAAAAGTGGCTGTGGCTGTGGCTGCGATCGGACAGCTTTTCTGTTGGTTCACAATTGGTTGGTGAAGTATGACAATGTCTC